CTTCATAATCGTGAGCAGTTGGAAGGTGAGACATTGGCAGAGTTTAGCAACACATTGATTAGACTGTATGATCGAATGGAGGCTGCGGCCAGTGCCGATGAAAAGGAGGCGTTGTCTAAGTTAAAAGATAGTACCTTGAAAGAAAGGTTAGTGAGGGGGGCCGAGACAAAGGAATTCAGTGGGAGCTGAGGAGAATCGTAATTGCCAGTGAAGACAAATCCTTCCTGAAAATGTGTTAAGAAGTTCTAGAATTGTTTTAAGACCAACGCCCAGTCAAGGCGAAAGTTTGAGAGATAGCCGAGGTACAGGTTGTGTCACGAGGTGATGAGGATGATATCCGCAAATGGAAGGATAAAGTTAATCAACTGAAGGAAACTGTACAGGATATGGTTAGTGTAGTAAAATCCATTAAGCCTGTTGGAAGTAAAAGGAACGAGAGTGAATTGTGTTACAACTATGGTAGAAAGGATCATCGAAGGAGAGATTGCCGTATGCCTGTTAAGTGTTACAATTGCTGTAAGATGGGACATATGAAATATAATTGTCCACAATGGGGAGTGATGTGGGACAGGTTCAGGTGCAGGAACCTAAAAACAAAACACCAAAAACAGACGGAAATTGTACCAGAGGTTCGAACAGCATCGCATGTCGTGCAACGGGGTAACAGTGAAGACCTGAAATCATTGTTAATTTCAGAAAGTCCCACAGCGGAGTTGTTAATTGCTGGAAGTCGGATCGGGTGTATCTTAGATACTGGTGCTGAGAATAGTTTGATCCCACTGAGATTCTACAAAGAAATTTTGCAACCAAAGTAGGGTTCTCTTTGGTGCGGAGATGGAATCAATGTTGTAGGTGTTACAGGCATCACGATTCCTATTGCTGGTTACATCAAGACATTAGTAACCTTATCGGGGAAGTCAGCAGGCATTGGCTTTCTGGTACTAGAGGACCAGGTGATGATGAAACGGAGATAAAAATTTCCAGTGATTTTGGGGTGCAACGCATTGAATGTCTAAGTAAATGATGACTCATGGGATGTTGTAGATAGTGCATTCCAAGCTGAAGTGACACAAGCAATAGAGGAGTTAACACTGAAGACTATAAGTAAAAGTGATGTTTTGCCCCCTCTTGCAGTGAGGAGAATGGAGTGTATAATAGCCAATTCTAATAATGATATGGATATCTTGGTGGAGTCGAGAGCAGAAGGTCCAGTAAAAATGTCTGAGGGTTTCCCTCAGTGAATTGGAATGGTGTACCAACTTACAGTGGCAAATGAGAGTGAGAAAGAAGTAGTAATAACTCCTGGCACCGTATCAGCTTCAGCTGTGGCAGTCGATATGAAGGAAGAAGTGGTTGCACAACCTATTAATGGATTCATTGGAGTGACGATTGCCGAAATAGCTGTGGAAAAAGGGGTGCCTCAGACAAGAGTTTGGATTGCAAGTGACTGCAATCGAGGGGCCAAGTGAAGCTGGTACAGAATATTTGTGTAAAGATGGAACCAGACTGGTTTTGCCACGTGGGGTGTGTTTGGTTGGCGTTGATCAGGTTGAGGCTGAGATGATAGCAAAATTGCTTCATAAGAATCAGCCGGTTTTCTCTCAAGATAATATGGATTCTGCAATGTTATTCCCCACCAGATCAATTTGAAAGATGGGACAGGCAGTTACTGCAAGAGATGCTAGAGAAAGGTAACTTTAGAAAATCCAAAAGCCCCTTTGCAAGTGCTGTAGTGCCAGTCCGTAAGAGAGATGGATCATTACCTCTATGTGTAGACTATCGTCGTTTAAATCTACAAAAAGTAAGAGACTCGTTCCCCCTCCCTCGCATAGATGAAAGGTTAGAAGCTATGAGTGGTGCGAAGTTCTTTACTACCTTAGATCTTGCACATGGTTACTTTCAGTTTGCGATGCACCCGGACAGTGTGGAGAAAACAGCGTTTAGGGTGCCTTGGGGATTATTTAAGTTTTACTAGAATGCCTTAAGGACTGATAAATAGTCCAAGCACTTTTCAGCGTGTCATGGAATTGGTTTTTGCTGATCTTAACTTATCACACTTTATTATTTATTTGGATGATATTTTGGTTTTTTCACCTACAATTGAAGAGCATGAAGAACATTTAAAGATGGTGTTTGAGCGTCTGGAAGAGTTTTGATTGAAGCTGATTGGGAGAAAGTGTCAGTTCCTTTGCCGTGAAGTGAGTCATTTAGGTCATGTAGTGAGTACAGCCGGAAAAGCTGTGGATCCTGGAAAACATCTCGTATCAAGGATTGGCCGCTTCCTACCGACGTAGAAGAGTTAAGGTCATTTTTAGGACTAGCGTCCTATTATCGAAGATTTGTTCCAGGTTTTGCTCATATTGCTAGTACACTTGCATCGGCTGGTAACAAGGCGAAATCCATTGCTGATCTTAACTTATCACACTTTATTATTTATTTGGATGATATTTTGGTTTTTTCACCTACAATTGAAGAGCATGAAGAACATTTAAAGATGATGTTTGAGCGTCTGGAAGAGTTTGGATTGAAGCTGATTGGGAGAAAGTGTCAGTTGAAGTGAGTCATTCAGGTCATGTAGTGAGTACAGCCAGAATAGCTGTGGATCCTGGAAAACATCTCGTATCAAGGATTGGCCGCTTCCTACCAACGTAGAAGAGTTAAGGTCATTTTTAGGACTAGCGTCCTATTATCGAAGATTTGTTCCAGGTTTTGCTCATATTGCTAGTACACTTGCATCGGCTGGTAACAAGGCGAAATCCAGAAAAGCTAAACGATACACTAGCACAACACAGTTACAAGACAGCGATTTTCATTGGACCCCAGAAGCTGGTGCTTCCTTTAATGAATTAAAGACAAGATTGACATCTGCACCAGTTCTGGAATATCCCTCATTTGGAGAGAATTTCATTTTGGAGATTAACGCGTCATTGAAGGGTTTATGAGCCTGTTTATACCAGTTGAATTCTAATGGTGAGATTCATCCTGTGGCCTTCGCCAGTAGGGGATTGAGAGGTGCCGAACGAAATTACCCGGATTACTCGAGTTTTAAGCTAGAATTATTGGGCCTGAAATGGGCTGTGGCAAGTTTAGAGATTATTCGTTGGGAGGGTATACTATCATCTATACAGACCATAACCCTTTAGCCCATTTGGGTACAGCAAAGCTAGGTGCTACAGTACACTGCTGGGTAGCCCAATTGGCATTTGACCTAGAAATAAAGTATCGTTCTGGACGCACAGATAAATGCGCAGATGCCTTAAGACGTTGTCCTGAAATATGAGAGCAGAAGCTGTAACTGTTGCATTGGAAAAAGAGCTGAAGTGTAGCATGTTATCTGTTGAATTAATTAATGAAGAGGTTAACGGAGATGGAGTTTTAAATCAACAGCCGTTGCAACCTAAAGTCTTTCCTTCATACAGTATGGATGAGTTAGCTAAGTTGCAGAAGATGGATCCTGAGCTACAGGTTGTTTGGAGGTACTGGAATAACAAATGGAGGCCAGGATAAAAGTCAACTGGAGATGAAGTCCAAGTAAAGAGCTGGTTACGTAAATGGTCCCATTTTGTGGAGAGAAATGGTGTATTGTATCGAGAAATGGATCGAAAGGAAGTAACGACACAGCAGCTGTTAGTCCCAGAAATCTTAAAAAAAAACCATACTAAAAGCTGTTCATGACAACTGGGGAGACCAAATATAAACACTCCAATGCGGCATCTTCTTGCATTTCGACCTCAGGAAGTACTAGCGATAGATTTTTTGAAAATAGATAAAGGACGAGGAAATGACGAAGACATCTTAGTGATGACAGACGTATTCACTAAATGTTCACAAGCTGTTGCCTGCAAGGATCAGACCGCTTGTACTGTGGCAAAGGTATTGCGAGATTGTTGGTTTTGTCACTATGGGATACCCTTGAGAATCCATTCGGATCAAGGGAGTGATTTTGAAGGTCACTTGATTAGAGAGATGTGTAAGCTCTATGGGATACAAAAGACAAGAACATCCCCTTATCACCCACTGGGGAACAGTCAAGTCGAGAGATTTAATTCCACTCTTTGTGGCATGATCAGATCATTGGAACCATATGAGAGAAGACGCTGGCCGGAGCTGCTAAATCACTTGGTATATATATGTACAATTCCACACCACATCGTGCTACTGGGTTCTCAGTTGATGTCTGACCGTGAGCCAACCATTCCTTTAGATCAGCTACTCAACAAAGCCTGTAAAGATTGGGATAATGATTATGTGCAGAATCAAGCAGATACTTTAAAGAAAGCTATGACTATTGCTGAGAGCCAGATCAAGAAAACGAGGGAGAATGATGAACGTCTACATGATAGACGAGTGCAGGTCAAACCATTGGAAGTCAGGAATCAAGTATTGATTCCTGAATTTCTGACTTACTGAGATACTCAAACTTGTTGATAAATACCACCGAGACCAATATGTAATAGAGGAGGTGAATGCTGAGCAGGATGTATACATTATAAGACCAGTTTTAGGTGCAAAGTCATAAACAGTGAATCGGAAATTAATCATCCTTGATCCTCGACCGGAAATTTCTAATGAGGAACCAGAAGAGTGGCCATTGCCTGTTACACAAATGAGTGACAACATGAATGAGCAACCTTCAGTGAGCAGTGAAGACTCGTCAGATGATGAAGCTGAGATTCCTTTAATAATTGAAGTTCCAGATGATGTCATTCCGTTGAATACGGTTAGTGAGCATACCGATAACCAAGTGAGACGTTAAATCCGTCCAAATAAAATGGTACATCGTAATCCTGCAAAGTGGCCGAAATCTGTTCTTAAACAGTAATTGTGTGTTTTACCAAATTAGTACAGCATTATTATTTATTGATGTGGTTTATTGATTATTAATATATTAATTATATATATATAAATAAATAATAATGTTTTTGATATATTTTTTCTCATCGAAAACACAGTTTGGTTTCCTCTGACCATCAGAGTCATCATATTATTTAAATGGTCACTAGTATGTCTTGTGTAGTATAAGATATGAAACTTAAGGTTCAGATAGATGGTGTGGATAATATTTCGTTTTTTTTTTTATTTGAATAAGTTTCTCCAAAATATCCTGTGTACATAGTAGTAACTGCAGAAAAATATTTCAAAAAAATATTTTCAAATAAAAGAAAAATCCAAACAATACGCTGTGTAGAAATTACCACAAAAAAAATTAAAAAATCCAAAAAATCCAAAATGTTTCCAAATAATTTCAAAAGAAAATTTAAAAAATATCAAAATTAAATTTATAAATTCCCAAAGAAATTTCTCCGAAAATCGCAAAAAATAAATAAATTAAAAAAAAAAAATTCCAAAAAAATCCAAAAGGAACCATCAAGATGATTAACCAAATTAATCCAAATTTCCCAAATTAACCAATATTGGGTTTTTTCCCCCGTTATTTATACACAGCAATTATTGTTTTTTGGGGGGGATTTTGTGGAATTTTGAAGAGAAATAAGTATGACCCACCTCATCTATCCAAATGTCTAATATTCTTTGTTTTTTCCACGTTACAAACGGTCTTCCGTAATATTGAAACCTGCTTTTATCCAAGTGTGACCTTAGTTTGTCGCTGTCTTGGTTTTATACATCGATCATTTCGACTTACGTGTTTCTATCGTTTCCATCTTGCTTTTCCCCGACGAATTTAGCTAGCGTCAATGGGCCTGAAGGTACATTTAGTAATTGTTAACAATTTGTCCAAAAAGAAGCTCTGAGATACAGGTGAACCGTTAAATCGCACTTGCAATAACCGACAGGCAGGCAGAAAGGGAAAATACTTGTTTTTACATTATGCCTTGGTAGGTTTTTACATTATGGGTTACAAAATGTTTTTACATTATACGCCAAAAGTTTTTACATTATGCGTTAGCAAAATTGTTATGCGTTAATGCGTTGATTTTTACATTATGCGTTATTTTTTACATTAAGCGTCAAACCTTTTTACATTATGCGTTAACCATTTTTTTTACATTATGCATCGTTTTTACATTATCGGTTGTTACATCTAGTATTTACATGAATTGCATACTCGCAGCATTTTACTTTCTATTAGAAACTGCTAGTATAAGCTATATTGAAAACTACAGACCAATATCATTGTGTTCTGTAGTCGGTAAAATTTTAGAGAAAGTAGTTTGTAACCGACTCAATAGACATCATATTAACAAATTTCGTTTGTATTCGGAGTATCAGCATGGTTTTACATCAGGCAGGTCTTGCCAGACCGTGCTTGCCATTGCCCATCATCACTGGGCAAAATATCTTTATGAACAATCTCCTCCCCCTGTTGATGTAATATCTTTGGATTTTTCCAAAGCTTATGACCGTCTTCGTATAAAAATTCACATATTTTACAATATGCCGATGATGCCGTTCTCTACAGGACTATCAGATCCCGAAGTGATGAAGTTTCCCTACAAGATAACCTAGATGCCGTAGTTCACTATTGCTCTCAGAATAAATTGAACCTCAATGTTAGGAAGTGTTCTGTTATGCGCCTTACCCGCTCACCTAATCATTAAAAACATCATATTGAATATAAATTTTGGTTCTGAAATATTGCATCATGTTTTGTCTATAAACTATTCGGGGTTATCTTTAATTCCAAACTTGATTAGGAGGACCACGTTTCTTCAGTTAAATCTAAAACAGCAAAATTGCTGGATTTCATCAAAAGACTCGTTAGATCCAATAATCCATTTGTTATCACCAAACTGTATAACGGTATCTGCAGGCCAATTATGGAATATACAAGTCCGGCTTGGTATCCACACCAGAAGTGTCACCTACAAGCGTTAGAACAGATCCAACAGAGAATGGCAAAAGCATGTTTTCCGACCCTAAAGGGGTGAACTATCCTATGTACAAAGACTTAAAATCCTCCGTCTCAGATGTGTTGAAACTTCTCTCTTTCTCTTTTATTTTCAAATCTCTCAAATTTATATTTTCCTTCGATATCTTTAAATACATTACTATCAACCCTAGACACTTATTCTCGTACTAATTCTTTTAAGTATTCTGTGTTTAATTCCTTTCCTCGTACATGGGATGGTTTACCCAAAGAGGCCGCAGACATGTTTTTGTTTGGTATTGGGCCTTTTTTAAATAAACTCAAAGAGCATTTTTGGGAGACGTAAGGCTGGCAATTTTTTGCTTTAACTTTTCATTTTAATTGTTTTTGAGAAATTTTAAATTTTTATATTTTTATATAATCTTTTTATTGAGTAGTTTATATTTTTATATATAATTTATATATTATTACTGATAAAATGTTTTGTATTTTTATATGACATTTTATCTCTATTTTTACTGTTTTGATAATTTTGTTGTTTCTGTAAATTTGGCGACCCACTCGACAGAGATTTGAATCTCATTTTGGGAAGCCTGCCTCCTTTTTGTCTGTCTTTTTGGTGTGTTCTTTTTGTAATCTGTTTAGGCGAATAAACGACTTGAATTGATCAGATACAGAACTTTGTTTGATTACTTATTTTATATACAAAAATCTGTCTATACAGGAACTATAATTTACTTTGATGAAAGAATTCACATAGACCTCAGTTAGATGTTGGTTAATCTGTATCAAACACTTTAATGATCATCTTAACACATTCTAAATCATAATGACAAGTGTTAAAACATAAAACAAATTAACTAATAAATCAATCTCTCTGGTCCTTTACCCAACATTACTTTTATTAAACTAAAACTAAAATGACATTGAAACATTAAATAAATATTATCATGAGGAATATACCACTGCATATTTTACTATAGAGAAATTTTTAAAGCCTAAAATAGAGTACAGAACTGAATACACAATACTCTACCCTGTTACTAAAGTTGCTATTCTTGTTATACACATTAGGGAAAACAGGGTTATAAATTACTATCTGTAATATACACTAACTTGCTCTGTAACCTTCGTTATCGTAGCAACAGTCCAGTTTCAGTAGCACAGCCCTGCATACATTACCAATTAGTGGGAAGGTCACTAACCTAAATGCAGTATACTGTATAGGGTTCTATTGGGCCTACTGTATTCTATTGAACCTACAGTTTGTTCATCACAATAATGACATGTTTAATTACTTATTCATAGCATAGTGAAAATATAACAGTTATGTTAACTTTAATCTAAAGCTTAGATGCATAATAATAAACTATCATCTATCATAATTTCTACAATAGTTTATCTAGTACAGTATTCAACCATGATTTAACAGTGAACTGTAACTATAACGTTCTCATCTTTAATTATATCTAGTTTAATTCATTGAGATACACACTTATCTATCTAAAATATAATATAAATTATTTAAATACTAAAAAGTTATAAAATAAAACATATTAGTGTACTTTTCTGTGAAAGAATTCACATAGACCTCAGTTACATGTTGGTTACTCTGTATCAAGCACTTTAATGATGATGAGCTCAATGCCAGATAGGCCCAACCTCAACCAGGTAATGTGACTTTCCACAGGTCCATGGATGTTGAAATTTAATAGGGGCCTACGTTTCTGTGCAGGTAACATTTCCCCTACAAATGTGATGTCGTCCCCGACATTCACAATCTAAAAATAAAATATTAAATTTCATTAAATATATACAGTTCATATTATAAAAGTGACATATCTACAGTTAATTGTGTCCCTACGGAAATGTAGGGCCCAGCCTTCTATCATTTGCAATAGCATAAACACCTGTAACTCCTTCATTTCATGACGTTCAGGAGAGATGTGCATAAAGGTAGTTTACATGCAGCATATCCTTGCGTCGTTCCTTAACGATACATCCATAGAAGAACTGGTCATCTCGTCGTCAGACAATCGCAACACAATAAACGGTATCATCATCAGCAATTTAACAGTTTCTGATCCAGTGCCGGTAGCTACCATTCCAATACTATTTATTAACTCACCGTAGCTCCTGATCACAACAAAAAAACTTGCTAATTCACTTTAAAATCCAGTCACTAATGTTCCTGTTCCAACTCAAGTTGAAAGTATTCATGTTCATCTGTGTTTATCCGTTATAAAACACTTCTTAAACAGTTGTTATATAGTCAGATGTCCTAGTTAGAATTGGGTGGCTGGTTACAATTGAACATTGGATAAACGGGTGGTACCCACGGTGTATTAGGATGAACTTCAGTGAATCGTAGTTCATATCTTATCTGATTTTGATAACCCTGGTGATATTGTTGTGGATAAAATTGCCTGGGTCCATTCCAGTAGTGATTCAAAATGTTGGTTTGGTAGTGTAACTTGGTTATCTCCCGCAATCTGCATACATTGTGGTGCATGTGATCCGAAATGACGTCCAGTTTCTAAATCTGGTACAATGACATCAGGACTGTTGGCATGGTCATGTA